TTGGTAAAAGTTAGAGCTCTTAAAGGTAGCAGAGGAATGCAGTTTCACATATGTGAGGGCAGAAAACTTTTCATTATACTTCCTTCAACCTCCTAAATGCCCTACCCTTGTGGACAGTTCACCTTAAAGCTAGAGAGAAGCTTAAGTCATGGGCTCCTCATTTGCATGGCTGCTTTCCTAATTTTGCATGTATTTCCTTAAAGGGAAACTCCAAATTATATAAGCGTCCAGCCCCACGAAACCTGGGTCTGCCCTATAACAAAAGATCTCTCTTACCTGTCCCAAAGGTTGTTTGTAGGTTGCTCTTTAACTTCATGGGTTGAATGTAGATTCATTTCTGCAAAACTTCTTTTCTATGATTTTTTCTAGACATCCTTTTAAGAAATATGTTATGTAAAAAATTAAGTGACAATAGAAATGATATACCTAGAATCCCATCACCTCATCAGGTCACCCATGTTTATTCTTCTATGGCCCCTTCCACTTTTTGTCCACATGTCTATATCATTTTATGTGATTACCCTAGGATTTTGAGGAATTTTCTTTAAAAAAGTGTTATCTTGATAAATGTGCAACATAAATTTGCATTTATTGCACCTGTCCCATAGTCACCTCTTCAAAAGGTGTATGATGTGCCTACATCCCAGCATTCAATGGAGACAGACCAGCAGGAAAAGCTCAATGCCTGGCATTTCAGTGACAACTAGGGAAAATGACCAGCTGTTGGTACACAGGGCAAAGGAAGCTAAACTTGGGCTCCTGGGTGGCTTAGTTGGTTAAGTGTCTGCCTTTGGCTCAGATCATGATCCCAGGGTCCTGGAATGGAACCCCACATCGGGCTCCCTGCTCAGTGGGGACTCTGCTTCTCCCTCTCCCTCTTCTCCTGCTTGTGCTCTCAAATAAATAAATAAAATCTTAAAAAAAAATGCTAAGTGTCAAGGCTACATCCACTTTGTTCATTACTATATACTCTGTGTTTAGCACAGGGTCTGGCATTCAGTAAGAACATTGATTTAAGGTCTAATTCTGAATCTGATTGAACCAGTTCTATTTTTGGGGGGGAGGGGGGCTGATGGAATAAAATTTTAGAAAATAGCAATTAACTGATTGCTTTCCATTAAAGTCAAATCTGTCTCATTAATTTAAGTGTGCATTAAGTGTCTGTTATGACCCAACAAAACTACATCACTTGGGATCAAGTGAGGGCGAAAGGAGGAAAAATCTGGAGTATGCTCTTTCTAGTCCCAATCCCAATTGCAATCCTTACTTTATGGCCCGTGATGAATAAGGAAAATGGAGAATTTTTTAATCTTTTAAAAAGACAGAAGAGTAAGGAAATATGCAAAAAATGACATTGGGGGAAAAGAAGGAAATTTTACTAAGGGAAGGCAGAAAAGTAAAGCTTTTTATTGCCCTTAAATAGCTCTAGAAGATTATGACACTTAGCTCTTTGCCAGAAACTAGGGTACACTTACCTGAAATGTCACCTTCATTTTGTAAGGTTCTTGCAGGGCGAGATCACAACAGTTTATTGTCCAAAAGGGGTGATCATTTTAGATCTTGGTGAACATAACCCAGCACATACCTTTCTCCAGGATGGAATACTAAAGGAGGGCTCCTTGTGGCCTAAGGTGACAGATGCTCCAGTCACTTGATTGACTTGATGTGACAACACGTGAAGTCACTAGAGAAGTCTGACCCTGCAAAATACGTGACTTCAGCTTCTCTCTGCCCCAAGGTCAGTGCTACTAGGCAATAGCATTTCCTGGTAAAATTCAATTGAACAAAATCCTGGAGTTGTTTTTCTTCAAAATAATTTTGATTTAATTTCTCCTTTTATATAAAAAGACAACAAGTTACATTTCAGAGAACGCTGTTTAGGTTAGGAGGGTCCCGTCAGTGCTGTTTTGCAATACATGTTTACGTAATCTGAAGTGAAGTCGGCAGTCAACTGTGAAACTGGGGCCAGCCAGGCTGCCTGTGCACATTTTACTTTGGATCACAAACTAATGTAACATTCTATTGTTTAAGTGTCAACTAGGTCTGGGTTTTGTTTTGGACATTCAAATTGGGATAAGAAAACAAACAGCTACCACGATTCTAAAAAGCAGTAAGATCAGTGCTTTGTAAAGAGAACATGCAACATCAATATTTTCTGCTTTTATCAATGAGCTCAAACATTTGACATTTTGTATCCTGGTATTTAAGTAAGTCAAATCTTTGGAGAGAAAGTTTTATGGAATCTATTTGTATGGCCCAATATGTTATTACTTATTTCCCATATTAAGCAATTGTGCTTTGCTGTCCAAGGTTCATAGAAGTGAATAATGTAGTGTTAAAAATACAAAGAGAATAATAAATAATATCCAGAGGCAGTTAAATACTTCCCATAAAATTTCTTAGAAAAAAATATATTTATAATAATATATAATTGCCAAAATAAAAGCACTTATACTTTAAATGATCCCATATGACAGTGAAACTATCAAATATCTAAAAATTAGGACAGTTCTTAGGAGGAGCCTGTAAATGGGACCTTGCTGCTTTACCCATTTCCTTTACCAGCCCTCTCTGGGGACCCTAGCTGGAAGGGGTTTTGTTTTCTCTAATGGTCCCTTGCAATATAGTTAACTACATACATAGTTCATTACTAGATTAAGGTTCTTTTAGAATATGAACGAAATCTTACACATCTTTGACTCCTCCAAACCACTGATGTGGTAGTTTATTATTATTTATGGAAACAAATGCCAAAATAGAGATTGTAAAACATAAATGAGTTTATTTCCCTTTAATACAGCCCCTTTTTGTGGGTGAATTTATTCTTTACTGCAGTACATTTTTTGGATGTGATGACAAAACTCATTCTGGACAATCATCCACAGGTATCAAATGTCAGAGGACATTTCTTTGTTCATTTTGGCCTAGTATGAGCATACCATATTTTCATCCAGAAACTTTTTAGGGAACACTTCTCTAAACAAGCCATTTTAAATTTTATAATGTCCTCAGTTGTGTGTTAAATAAGCTAAATTCAAAGAAACTGAGGTTAACCACATCAGAGCAAAAAGTAAAATAAATTTAATTAGAAAATTCAAAAGGAAAAAAAAAAAGAAAATTCAAAAGGACAGTAGAGAAAGCCTGCAATTAATTATAATGTGATCCAAATGAATTCATATCTCATCATTCCAGTGTGTGAGCCAGGATATACACACTCACATGAAGAGCATCTGGCCAAGCTAAACAACAAGTCAAAGGTATCAGTTTCATGAAAAGAAACTTAAGAAGGCAAAATTATTCAGCATAAGCCTAATGTAGGATTTTGGAAGTTCTAAATTATCAAGCCAAATATCCACATTACTTTTTAATTTAGTAAATAATGCATTCATTGTCATATTCACTTTGATCATTACATGGACAAAAATATACCAAGTCATTTTTCCATGTGTTAAAACATTCAAGTATATTACTGAAAAGAGGCAATGAAAATTCTGTCTCTCGGGGCGCCTGGGTGGCTCATTTGTTAAGAGTCTGTCTTCAGCTCAGGTCATGGTCCCAGGGTCCTGGGATAGAGCCCTGCATCAGGCTCCCTTGCTCAGTGGGGAGCCTGCTTCTCCCTCTGCTCATGCTCTCTCTCTCTCTGTCAAATAAATAAATAAAATATTAAAAAAAAAAGAAAATTCTGTCTCTCAAGTTTTCAAAGATGAGGGAGGAGACTAGGGATAAACAGGGATTAAACATGGGTCTCAAGGAGCTATGTAGCTTTTGATTCCTTTGTCTCTAACTGAACAAGACTGAAGTCACAAAGATGTAGTAGATCCCAAGCACAGAGACATTTCCTCCATGCATATACTCTATTCTAAGAGGTTAACATAGGGTTACAGATACTTAATGCAGAGTCTTCTAATCAACCTGACTTCTACCAGCGTTTTTGCTAACAAAAACTTTTGAGAATGGCTCCAATTACTGTTAAGATAAAGTAACATAATGCCTGAGATTGGCTTTAAAGTATTACAGTGGAAAAGGAAAAAAGGGTAGATGAAGCAAATACAGCATAAGTTTTATAATGATTAAATATAGGGGATAGGGATGTGGGAGGATTATCCTATTATTTTCCCTACTTTTGTGGTATGCTTTCAAATTTTCATGAGACTTTTGCAGTGAGAACTTGAAGAAATACCTATTATAAGAAATACTATGATTTTTTCCATACACCTGTCTATAGAATGGATAGAAAGCTTTCCTGAAAGAAATTGTGGCTGGTCTCAAATCTTGGGCTCTTTAGCAGGCTTAAAAAAAACCATTTCACCTGTCTTTCAAAAACCATTTTTGTCTTTCTCAAAAGAAGGAAGTAACAGAAACCTACACATTATCCTGGGATGTGGATTAACAAAATACACCTTTAATGTTAGCCTAAAGTTAGAGAAATCTAACTTTTGAAGCTGAACATGAAGGCTGTATTACATGGTAGATATGGATTTGAATTCTGGTTCAGATTTTAGTTTCAGTGAAAAAGAGGAGAGTTAATTTCAAGAATTCAGATTCCGTAATTCTTTTCTCAGATCCAAAGAGATTTTCTTATGGGGATTTAACTTCTACCATGCCAGTTAAGAAGTAAGGCTGTGGCCGGGGTTGGGGGGGGGATGTGGGGGGGGTATCCCCTTCTTGGAAGTCTTACCTCAAAAATGATTAGTCCTTCCTTGTGGTAAAAAGATACTTCAACCCCTCACATATGCTGGGAAGGGAGCCTCACTCTTCTGGCCCCTTCTCCATTTTCTTTCTTCTCTGTAGGACTCATGTACCCAACATTCTCTTCCATGCTTCCTACATGCTTCCCAATTGATCTGTCATGACATCTTATGCATTGCTCAGGGATTCAAAAACTAAAAGAGCTCTCGGGCCTATAGGGACCTATAGGGACAATTATACTGGTTCCTATGCAAAATATGGCTGGGGGAGCTAGAATTTTGACCTAAGTTACTAGTACTAGACTAGAAAAAAGAAGTCAGACGCAAAAAACTCTCCCAGTTCATTTATTTTGTGTAAGGTTCATAACCAAAGAGCCTGTACCGACATTCTTTCTTTCTCTCCTTTATATAGAGATTAAGGATGCAGTTAAGAGTTCACTCTATTAACACTGATGCCATGGAGATTTCTTTTTACAAATGAGGTATTCGGTTTACTGACCCAAACAGTACATGTATGGATAAACTGCAGAAATTGTCTAGCAAGTAATAAAATAAAAGTGAATACACTGAAACATAAAACAGAAATAGCATCTGGCAATAGTTGCTGTGATACCCTGAGAATCTTTACTCTAGTCAAAATAAACCCACCCACCTTATATCTGTAAAAAGCAAAAACCAGCATGATTTTTCCTAAGGGCATACACTTCTGCTCAGAAAAGACAATGAGAATGAAGGGGTGGTGCATATGAAGAGAGACAAAGATCATTCTTCTTGCCCCTTTCTCCTCTCTAGTCAAAATTACTTATTCATGGACCACTATTCCCTCCCCCTCCCTTTTTTTTAGGAAAAACACTTAGAATTACAGCAACAACAGCATTTACAAGTCAATTTATGTGGAACTGTTGTCAAAGTTCAAAATGCCATGAAAGATCTTGAGAAGACATCGAGTATTTCACATAAAAAACTGAACAATCAGGTTAGCCAGGCCCAAAATGATGATGAAAATGTGAAAGATTAACTTCGGCCATGTCAGACGGTCTTCTTGGCGGAGGGAAATCATATAGATGAGAGATGGATATATGAATACAAAGGCCAGGCCGCATGCTGCTCCTGAATACCTGCAAAATACAAAATTTGGGGGTTAATTATTCATCTTGCATTTTGCTTTTTCTGATTTACAGTTAAGGTTAATACACTACAATTTAAAACCTCTTCAGTCTGCTATTGCAACAAAGTTATTTGTGATTCAACCGTTGTTGCATAAAGCGTTTGAGTTGAAAACATTTTACTTCCTAAGTTAATATAAAATATTATTTCCTGTTCGTCTTTATAGCATCTGCCTGACAGAGTTTTTGATTCATCTCTCCAATCTCCATAGTTCTTTTGTGTCTCCATGTTTGTGGCTGCTTCCTCAGAAACATCTGGAGATAGGCTTCCTATCTTTGATCTTTTATAAACTAATTATGCATTCTGAGTTTCTGAAGGACTGCTAGCATCTGCTTAAGAATGAGAACAGATGAGTACCTCTGTGGTGTGCAGCATAATTATCAAAGATAGTAACAAAAATAACTCAACACAAGACTGACAGAGGAACCTGAACTTTCTTGTACCTTAATCTATCTCCAGCTTCACAGAAATTTGTAAGTCCGATTATATTCAGTAAGCATCAGGCTAATACTCTTTCCTTTTGTTTCTTGCTACATTTTAGGTAAGGGTCTTCAGAAAAGTGACTTAAGCCCTGCTTTCTAGAGGTCAAGGAAGAGAAATTAGATCACTGGAAACCCATATTCCTTGAGAATCTGAGTGCACAATTTTACTCCCCATCTACTCAACCTATCACAATATTTTTAAAGAAAGTATATTAAGTAAAGAGCTACCTGGGATATAAACCCCTACCTAAACTCTTACTCTCCGACTGTAACTCACAGTGAAATTATGTTCTTAAGTAGAAATGGGTTAAAAAAGTTAGAATACAGTCACACTGAGATGATCCTTACTGAAAAGAAGCAGACTGTTCCTAAACCAGAAGAAGTTGCACAGGAGAAAAAGATATCCCAGAAGAAACTGAAGAAACAAAAACTTATAGCCCATGAGTAAATTCTGCATAAAATAAATGCAAATAAAAGTAAAAACAGCACAGTGGTTGTCTTTATTATTAAACATATTTCAGGTATCCTCAAAAAAAAGTTATAATGCAGTCTTAATAAATGAGAGACCTCCAGGTATTCAAGAAATTATATACTATATATTAAAAATTTTTTTATTTTGGATAAACAGAAGAAGGTACAAAGGAAAATGATGAAAAAAAGAAAAAGAGAAAGGGAAAGATGTCTAAGGGATAATGGGGCTTCTAGAATCAAGAAGAAGCAGTGTGATGTAAGAAAATGAGCACCTTAACTGATACCAGGGAACTACATTTGAATGTTACCAGTTTTAAACACAAGAATTTCATACAATTAAATTAACAACACAATGACAGTATTGACAGGAAAACCATACAAATAAAGAACAATACATGAAGGGGCACAGTTCCCTTATAGGGTGTACCTTATGATTCCTCCTATGTTTGGGTAGAAGCAGGCCATGATCACTCCAGCTCCCACAATAATTAGATTAAGAGTCAGCACATGAAAAATGCTAGAAGTTGAGAAAATTCGGAGGAAAAATAAAAACAGGCAAATTATAATGATTAATATGAGAATAAAATTCATTATTAACATCTTTCAAAAGAGAATGTTCTTAAACTCGACAATAAAATCACAGCAAAAATAGAAGACAATAATAGTACTCAATGCTGGTGATGGCACGGTGACCCTGGACCTTTTGTGCAAATATATGAATTGGTTAAGATTCACAGATCAAACTGGTAGTATGTATCAGACTTCATGCTCTTTATTCTATAATTCCATTTGGAATACCTTAAGACAATAAACAAAAATAAGAAAAGAGCTATTAAAGATATTTGTGGCAAAACGGAAGTATCCTATATATACAGCAAGGTAACAACTTCCTTGATGGAATATATTAAAGATTACTCAAAATAACTTGTCATTGTTACCTAGATGGTAAAAATTCATCTGGGCAACGTGGAAAAAAGCTAGCTAGATTTTTACTACAAGAAAATCTGAAAACATTAGAAAAAATATCAGAAAGAAGTACACTGAAAAGGCAGTAGTGATTATGCTATGATTTGGAATTTGGAGCAATTTTTCCTCTTTTCTGTATTGAATAAACTTTCTATATCTTATAATATTTTTTGTATTTATTTTTATAATTAGGAAAATAAATTATATTAAAGGAAAGGCAAAATGGGCAGGTTTTCATTTTTCAGATTCAGCCACTTAAAGATACTCAGTGTTTATCATGAATAGAAAAATAATGTAGATAAAATTTGATGCTCAAGAAACAACTCCATTTCCCAAAAAGATGATTCTTAAAAGCCAAATATATGCATCAAAGCAACTTTGTGAGCCCATGTTATCAGAGGGTAATTAATCCCAGATAAAGATTACAGAGAGAATTAAAATGAGGAAAATTATTTACACAAATAAATAGTTAGTCATACATCCTGATGAATTACAAAGATATTCAGGCTTCCAGATCTTGCTATTTAGCCATAAACTCCAACTTTAAAAAATTGTTCCAGAGCTTTGAGACAATGGCTGGGCCTCTGTTATTTCTGTATTGTAAAAGGAAATAATTCTATGTATTTTCCAAAGAAGTGGTTCTCATAGTGTAACCACGAACCCCAGGGAAGTTCCCATTACCCTTTCAGGAAGTCACTGAGATAAATATTAATTTCAAATCATAAAAGACATTTGCAAAAGCAATTGTGGGTAAAACTGCTGGCCTCTTAGCACAGGGAGAGGCAGTTGCACCAATGTGTATTTTATACTGTGTGCCTTACTGCCAAATGCTGCCAAAAAACAGACCTTCATAAAAAAGTAAAAATTATTAGTTTTATTAAATCTCATGCTTTGAACACACATCATTTTTACTATTTTGTGTGATCAATTAGGAAGTACATAATACAGAGTATGTGCTACACAGTGAAGTACAATGGTTGTCTTGAGGAAAAGTGCTTGGGCAACTGAGCTGGAGAGCAACCTAGCCCTTTTTTCCAAGGAATGCTATTTTTACTTGAAGGGCAGACAAAAACTGTGGTTCTTCAGACTTGGGTGTTTGACAGACCTTTTTTTTTTTTTTTTTTTTAAATGAATGATTATGAGCTTGTCACTTCAAGGAAAACAACTAGTGGTATGTGTGGCCAATGATAAAATTTCAGCTTTCGAGTAAAAATTAGAATTTTGGACAGCTTGTATTTGCCACCCTAGCTTGACAGTTTTCCAGTACTTAAGGACTTTTTTAGAATGAAACTGGGGGCAATGTTATGAATGTGGGTTTTAATATTATATAATGAAGTGTGGAAGATCTGCAGAACTCAGTGAAATGGTATTTTCTAAATGATTAAACATGGTACAAGAACATGCATAGGTGAAAGGATCCAAAGTGTACAACAGACCAATGGGTTTTAATATTAGTGAGTTTCTGATTCAATTAACTTATTAGAAGCTACCAATTGTTAAGGTTTGGCATAGTATCAAAGAAGAATATCCACAATAATCTGAAAAGGCTATTAAAAGTACTCCTTTTTGTCTAACATGTCTATGTGAGAGTAGATTTTCTTCACATATTTAAAGGAAAACAACAGGGGCGCCTGGGTTAAGGGTTAAGGACTCTGCCTTCGGTTTGGGTCATGATCCCAGGGGTCCTGGGATTGAGCCCCACATCGGGCTCTCTGCTTGGCGGGGAGCCTGCTTCCTCCTCTGTCTCTGCCTGCCTCTCTGCCTACTTGTGATCTCGGTCTGTCAAATAAATGAATAAATAAATCTTAAAAAAAAAAAAAAGGAAAACAACATATTGCAACAGATTGAATGCAGAAGATAAGGGAATCCAATTACCTACTAGCAAAGTAGGTCACTTAGCTGGCTTAGTTGGAAGGGCACACAAATCTTGATCTCAGGGTTGTGAGTTTGAGCCCCACACGGAGTACAGAAATTACTTAAATAAATGTAACTTAAAAAAAAAAAGTTTTGAAAATATGAAACAAAAATTTTTTTGGAGACAATTATTTTTTATTAGTATGTTATTTTTAAACAATTAATGGCTTTATTATTGCTTTTAAAATAACTCATATTTTAAAATTCTCAGTTTTGATTTTTCATATGTTAAATATTAATAGATATAACCCAGATAAGCTAAAGTGCAGGGGGTCCTCAATAAACTTTAAGAATGTAAAGCAGGTGCCAAGCCCAAAAAAAGTATGCTCCAAAATATGTATACAAGTAGAAGACTTGTAACTGTAGGATAAATGATAGTGTGTTGTTGGTGATAGAGAAAGAAATGTAATGTGAACACGAAAGGGAACTTCCAGATTATTTCCAAGAGGAAAAAGCATCCTAACAGCCACTACTATGCAAAATAATGGCAGAAAAGAGGAATGATGCATTTACCTAGTATTTTTTTAATCTATGACTTCACTGTATTTATTTTACTTTGGTGAATATAAATACAACACATGGCATAATATACACAACAGGAATCTTGTATGTACTAAAATCCAAGCTTCCAGATGAGCAATGTTACAATTGCAACTGTTGCTACTGTCAATGCTAGAGAGGCGGTAGCTCTTGACTTTTGCTTTTATAACTTTTTTGTTTTTAAACCAACATATTTATACTAATTATTTACTTAATGAGGGAACAGAGTGCATCAATTCTCTTCAAAGAAGAACTGATGAAGACGTCTTATTTAATTGGTTACCATAAATGTAATTTAAAAAGTTTTTACCTGAAAGCTTTCTTCATTTAAGACCATTTATTTCAGGGTGCCTGGGTGGATCAGTGGGTTAAGCCTCTGCCTTCTGCTCGGGTCATGGTCTTGGGGTTCTGGGATTGAGTCCCTCATCGGGCTCTCTGTTCAGCAGGGTGCCTACTTCCCTTCTCTCTCTGCCTGTCTCTGCCTACTTGTGATCTCTCTCTCTCTGACAAATAAATAAATAAAATCTTTAAAAAAATCATTTATTTCAAGTAAAATAGGTTAGGACTGGGTATTTTTTAACTAGGGTGAATCTCTATTAAAACTTCATGTTAGAGCAGGAATTAACCAGGAATCCAAAATGAAGTTCCACGGAAACCCTGAAGCAGTATATGGAAATTTCTCCTGGATGAGAGTGAGCAGCTTTGAACAGATTTTCAAAAGGACTCAAAACTGGTCCATCACCAGGAAGAGATTAAAAATTATAGCAGTAATTACTGAAGCAAATAGGAATTTAACCTTGTTGTATATGTTACCTTCAATTCTAAACAACTACGATTTAGGTAAAAATGCAAGAATGTTAATAAATATACAAGAACGTATCAATAACCAATAATTAAAAGCGTTGCTTCTCATTAGCCATACATTGCTAATATAGGTACTAGGTACTATTAACTTCTTGGCAATGTGTAGATTAATGGCAAATAAATCACAAGATAAATATAGTTGGTATCAGAGCTTACATAACTATGCTAGAAGGAACAAACTTGAAATCATTCTGGACAAGGAAGTGGCTTCTAATTTTATAGCTCTTCAGGGAAAAGAACACCTGTGATCTATCCTTAGTAACCATTTTGATTAGGCAAATTTTTATAGCAAAAGGATCAGTCACATTTTAAACTGACCTGTTTGCACAGTCATTTGTTGCTTGGCACATCTTGCTGGTCAAGAGAAGAGCCCTTACCTAGGATAAACGTCACCGAAGACATGGCCCAATAGTTGAACACGAGCCAAATAGCCTAGGAGTGGGTATATAGTCATCATCTGGAACAGCAGGAATATCCTTGCAATGAAGGACAGGATGTCACTGCTAGGGAAGTTGTCTAAAAAATTCTAATCCAAGAAAGATAATGAAGTAATGTTAAAAATCAACTTAGTACATACAAATTTATAAAACTGAGTGTCTTTTGCTTATTTAGAACGCAGGTGCCACTCAAGTTTTGGTTTGTGGACCAGCGCTCATCCACAAACTCTATGTGAACTATTATTTTTCAGTAAACTAAGTACAAAAATTGAAATGTTTAGAAATTTTTATAGAAATTTGACATTGCCACATTATTATTTTGTTTTACGAAAGTATCAGTCTGCAATTGATCTGACATTAAAACAACAACAAAGAAAACCTTGCCCTTCACAAAGCCACAGAAGCAATGTTCTTAAGGTACAAGCATAAATCTGTTTTAGTAAATTTAAATGGCTATTTATTAATATTAATTATGAATTATATATTAATTCATATAATTATGAATTACATATTAATTATGAATTAATATTAATTCAATGCTATTTGATCCTCACTAGTTCTCTTGCTTTTCCTTCCCTGAAACATCACAGCACTTCCAAAGTAAAGTTTATAGAATGTGAGAGTATACATATCACCTAGTATCATTATTATCTATAGCCTATAACTAAAAAGAAAGGATTTATTTCTATTTCCTTTCATGATTTTCTCCATTTTAGTTTGGCATCTAAAAAGAAAGTTCATTACTCAGAACTTTTTGTTTCCTTTCACATACGAATACCATAGATATTCCTATTCCCAAGAGAGTGGGCTTTATACGGGATTGTTCATATCAGGGGAATTTTCAGCAAACATTTGGCTGCCAAAGAACTTCTGGAATCATGGAAATCAAGAGAAGAACATTTCAAGCTATCATAAGAGTAATAATTCAAACATTTATCTTACAAAGATGAGAACATTATTAACACTACTATGTGGAAATAACTCTTAATTCATCCATAATAAATCACACTGTATATTCCATTATACTCTTATTAGAGGAATTTCTTCTGGCTAGAAAGAAATTCATCTGTAAAATGCTATTTTTGTGAGAAATTTGTCAGTCACATTAAATTAGAAACTACACTGTTCCTAAGTTTATAATGGGTCAAATCAAAGAAAGTATTTCTTATGGCAACTTTTTTTGTAAAATCTTTTCTTCTAGTCTTTCCGTCTCTTCCTCTCTTTTTAACAGCCAAACCTTTGTTTTACCCACCATGCTGTACAAAAATGAGTGTCAGATCTATCGTTGGGGACTGATAAGCGAAGACACCAGATTACCCAGGACATTTCCAGATCTGGGCTTTGGAAAATAAGGAGGTTGCATGTATTCCCAGCAGAGGTTTTATAAATCATGAATAGCATCAGTAACTGTTTTCCAAACAAAGAGAAATACTATGTACATCATAATAGTAATTACCTATTCCGAGTACCACAAGGGTCCAGCATGCAGTATACCTTCTTAAGAATCTCTTTAAAAAAATCTATGGTGTGTGTATTATACTACTTAGTGGAATAGGAAAATGAAGTTTAGAAAGGATGGGGAAGGTGCCTAAAATCTCATATGCAGATTAAACGGTAGAGAAGGTATTCAAACTCTGGTCTGTCTGGTATTGTAACTTGCTACTGTATCACCCCGCCTGCTCTGCAGATAGGAAAGTATAAAAATCACAAAGAGGGTACACCTAGTGCCTTACCTGCTCTATGCAATCCTTGGTTAATGGCGGTGAAGGAAATGAAGCAAAAACCAGGACTCCAATATAGAGGTAAGTTAATGTCACCAGCATATAAGCAATGGACAAGTCCCTCACCTGTAAAAAGACAACAAAATTCCCATAACACGGAATAAACCTGCAGTTAAGTCTGCCTGAATAGACTAAAAAAGAAAACTGACCAAAATTCAAGATTTATCTTTTGGCTTGTGTGTGCTTTTATGTATATGCCTTCTAGGTATCCAATCTGTTCACAGAAATTAGATAAAACAAAATCCATATACTTCACAATTAGTCTGAAAAAAAATTTTTTTTGTACTGTTTTGGAGCATGTAGATTAAGCTACCCTACCTGTTGACAGATTTTAGTAAATTAACATAAATGGTGGCTTAACCAAAAATTATGACTAATTTCTAAATTTATTTTTTATTTTAAAATAAAGATTTTATTTATTTATTTGACAGAGATCATAAGTAGGCAGAGAGGCAGGCAGAGAAAGAGGGGGAAGCAGGCTCCCCGCCGAGCAGAGAGCCCGACGTGGGGCTCGATCCCACGACCCTAAGACCATGACCCGAGCTGAAGGCAGAGGCCTTAACCCACTGTGCCACCCAGGCACCCCTCTAAGGTAATTTATTTACCACATTACAAAACATTTGATTACAAATAATAAAGCTGAGGGACAAAAAAGCAAAAACAAGCCACCTTCGGTATGACCTACACAATTAAAAAAGTTTTTTTTGTAGTAAATTGACTTTGTTAAACCATCAAAGCATGCCTGGGCTGAAAGAAACTGGTACAGTATTAAAACATATTTAATAAAGAAGAAAAGCTAGTTAAAGGGCAGATAGTAAGCAGGTATCACAAACAAGCTTAACAAACCGAAACAGTAAACAAAAGAAAATCAAAAGGCAACTGTTCCAACAGCTGTACAATGTTATTATTAGAATCAGTAAACAAATGCAGCACATTAAATAAAGTGGGTTGCTTTCTTCCACTGCTGTTCCCACCCTCCTGACCTTCTACCCCCATGCGAAGGAAAAAGCTCCAAGATATTTAATGCAGCCAGCTGTCAGATCCAAACAGAACATATCCCACGACTCACAAAGCTGGTCTCCATCATCGCTAAAGTTACAGCCAAACAATTCAGTACAACTAAATTATGGCAATAAGCCTATTCATTTTTTATTTTAAACACAAATTATTTTGAAAGTTAAGAAAACAGATAAGAAAAAAATTATATACAATTTTACTTTAGTTTGATAACACAATTAGGAAAGTGGACATTTGGCATTAGGGAGCATTTGTGATTTTTTGGATAACTCTTCTTAAATGGGCTAAGCAAGAATAGAAAGTTATAAACTGGAATGTTGATAAATTCACTTAAAATGCAAGTAACAAGCTATGAGAGATCCTAAGGTTAGGTTTAAATAGACAATCAGCTTGAAAACAAACCAGGGATTCCAGACCCTGAATTAGAAGCTGGACATACCTATGAAGAAGCCACAGGAAAATGGGATTATGCAGGTTGGTTCTAGCATTCTCAGAGAGCTTCTAATTGTTTAGGGTTGAGGAAGGAAGCTTCAGGGGCTTTCCAAGTCCTTACTCTTTTTTTTTTTTTTTTAAGATTTTATTTACTAATTCGACAGGGAGTGGAGACAGAGAAGCAGGCTCCCCACTGAGCAGGGAGCCTGATGTGGGGCTAGATCCCAGTACCCTGGGATCATAGCCTGAGCTGAAAGCAGCCACTTAACCAGCTGAGCCACCCATGTGCCCCAAGTCTTTCCTCTTTAGTTCATGAAGCTGAGGGCCCATTTCAGGCTAGACTTTAGTCACTCCTAAGGTTGTCTCACAATCTTGTAGAGAATGAACAGAAATGAACAAGGCAACTCTACTTTTCATATCAAAGGGTAACAGTCTCTCATTATGATGTTTAAAAGTCATTCTACTTTCAACCTACTCAGTGTAACTCAAGAACAGGTAGTCTCATAAAATGCAAAATCTTGGGAGTCCAAAACAGCTGTGTCAGAGACAGCTATATATAAAGTGGGACAGCTACCATTTCGCGGACAGTCTTTAGCCTCTCTAGCACCTGATCATCCATTATTCTGGTCAGGCTTTCCGCAAAGACGTGTATCTTAGTAGCCTTTGGGGGAAAGTTTGATGAAGATGATAAGGCTAAGGTGCAAGGGCTTCCTGATAATAAGTCAGTTTTCCCTTCTGCTTTCCTGTTCTTATAGCACTGTACACATACCTGAAATACAACATCTACTAGAGTGTACTGTGGCTATTGTTAGTTTTTATTATTAATCTATGTTCATGAATGAAAGCTCACAAGCAGAAAAAAAACTGTCCCTCAACACCCAGAAAGTAGCCAAGGTTAATAGTTTTTGTATCATGTTGGTACTTTAATTTTTCTATGTCTAAGCTCGTTCATACCACTAGACTATGAGATCCTTGAGAGCAAGGGCTGTGTCTTTTTCATCTTTGTAACCTCAATACCAGGAACAATACCTTGGACAGAGGTGGAAACTGGTAAATAAATGCATAGAAAAAATAATAACCATGCTGGTTATAGTTAGTAGCTGGTTATTAAACTGGCTAGGTGCTAGGCTATGCACTAAGCACTTTACATGTATAATCTCATTAAATGCAGGTGCATCCATTTTCTTCATTTTATAAGTGAATAAACTAGTACAGCAAGGTTATAACATTTCTTCATGGTTATAAGTAGCTGGTGAAGTCAGTGTTCAAAATAAAGATGTTATGGCTCCAAATTGCATGCCCTTTAGCTATTACAGTGGAGGAATGATCAGTCTCGAATGCATCTGTGTCACAGTTAATAAACAATAATAAAGAAAACAAAGATGGGGCACCTGGGTGGTTCAGTCAAGTGTCTGCCTTCAGCTCAGGTCATGATCTCAGGGTTCTGGGATGGAGTCTCACATTGGGCTCCCTGTTCAGCAGAGAGCCTGCCTCTCCCTCTCCAACTCCCCCTGCTTGTGTGTACACACTCTCTTTTCAAATGAATAAATAAAATCTTAAAAAAGAAAACAAAGATAAAGAGGTAACAAGTTACAAGTAACAGAGGATACAGCAGAGTGCACACACAGATGCAAGAGAAATACTAAAATCAGAAAAGTTCTGTTTTGTAGTAGTCTAAATGTACATTCAATGCAACTAGGTCAAGTGTTGCATATCTGTTTTCATCTGAAACTACTCTAATGAACAGAAAAGATGTTTTAATATGAAAGCAGCTGAGGTTTAGCATGTTCCTGGGAAACATGCCACCTACGAATACCATGAACACATGTGGGTTTTGCTATTCTCTGGGCTTGAGCACAAGCTATCACTGTACTAGGCCTGGAGATTTAGCCTCTTAATAGTCCACTTAATGGAAAAGGGAGAAAAAAAAGCCATCTTTTAGATGAGTCTCAAAGTAAAAATATACTTAAAAAGAGGCACAAATGACAATATGAATCCTATATATTAGGTTAGGTGATCTACTCTGCCTTATGAATAAGCAACCACTGGCAGGGTGATGGGAAAAATGCCACCTCAGAATGAGGACTAGCTTTACCAGGGGGCACAAGTGGTGCTGGAAGCACATTCTGCTTCTCGAATATGGTTTATAATTTGTTCCACAAACCGTTCATAGTGAAAATACTATGCAGTAGAGCATTTACTAACAAAAATGACAGAAACTGACCACATAGACCTACCCTAGACATTTACATAAAACTTCTAATGATGTATAGTTAAGTAAACTACACAGATTCATATGAAGAAGCAAAAAGTAAATAACAAATTGAGATATAAGGCACTGCAAATTGTTTTTTAAAGAACTAGCACGGTGTGAAACTAGATAAAGACAGGCAAAACAAAACCAAAAAAGCACTGTATGGGTTCTAATTCAAACATGATGAGGAAATACCAAGAGGTTATTCCACATATCCAGGATCATTTCCTAGATGGTTATAGAGACTATATATCTGATGATAAAGAATGAGTTGGATGATCTTCAACTCTACAACATTTTTTTTTTCTTTTGGTAAGGTATGCCTTACTAAGGAATAGAAATTATATCCCATTTTGTGACACATGAAAAAAACTGTTTAGTGAAAAAAAAAAAAAACCACCATGAAATTAAGCTGAACTTAACAAAGCTGAAAAATCTGATCATTATACCTGTTTAGAAGCCACATTATTTTCCTCCTTCACAAATGTCTTTAGATCCAAGTCCTACTGTCGTTTATATAGAAGCAAATGAGGCCTTTTTATTCTTTTGTCTTCTGCACTTTTAAGCCTTTGTTTACTGGCTCTGAATGACTAACACAACATTAACAATTCAGAGTCCCTGACAAGCTTCACATTTAAAAAAATTTTTTTTTCACTTATATATTTGTCAGAGAGAGAGACAGAGAGCTAGTGGCAGGCAGGAGAAGCACCCTCCCAGGTGAGCAAGGAATCCAACATGGAACTAGATCCCAGGACCTGCAGATCATGATCTGAGCTGAAGGCAGACGTTTAACCAACTGAGCCACCCAAGAATTCCAGCTTCATATTTTCTGACTTAAATCTCAAGAAAATATATATTAACAGAACTTCTATGAGTAAAATTATTTACTGAAACCTGCTGAAAAGTATAACCATTAAATGAACCAAATGACAATTTTTTTTCTCAGAATATTTTTTTCTCAGAATTTTTTTTCTCAGCTACCCATTTAGCTTAATTTATGCAAATATCTAGCCAATTTCAGTGCAATCATAAAGAGTATATATTTACATATATTTAAAGTGTTTAGAATTTTGTTGGCACAAAGTGTTAGCTTTACATTACAGAATGTTAGCTTTATCATTAGTAGTTACTGATATTTTAAGAAGTTAACATAATTTTTTTTAAAAGATTTTATATATTTATTTGACAGACAGAGATCACAAGTAGGCAGAGAGGCAGGCGCGGGGGTGGGGGGTGGGGAGGAGACGGTGGGGAGGGAAGAAGCAGGCTCCCTGCCGAGCAGAGAGCCCAACGGCGGCGGGGTTCCATCCCAGATCCCAGGACCCTGGGGCCATGACCCAAGCCGAAGGCAGAGGCTTTAACCCACTGAGCCACCCAGGTGCCCCAAAGTCTGATTTTTTTGAAAGCTAGACTATACCTTATACCCTAGTTTCAATTAAGACAATAAGAAACCATCATCCATTTAAACTTTAAAGTTTCTTTTCAAAAAATATTTCCCACAAAAGACAAAAGTTGAGTCAAATTTTATCAGCTGAACCTAACATACTAGTTCTACAAAGTGCTAGTCCCAAAAGGGAGCAGAAACAGGAACCCATTTTATGCTATTTCCATATAAAAAACAGATTTCAAGGCCCACTGAGTGTTCTAGTAAGAAAGGCAGAGAATCTTCCTGCAATCCTTGGGAGACCACGAACTGAAATGTCTCTATTTCCATGCAGTCCTGAGCCTCTCCCACGGAGGAATGCATATCTCCAGATACACTGTTGTAATTTTCCAGAAAAGTGATTCTACTTTGCAGTTTTAGGAAGCACAAATAGAGGCTGTCCTCTTTTTTAATAGCAGTATGACACTAAAACTGCCTGGACACCTCTTTGAGGAAGATGTGGGGGCAGATGTAGCACACCTGCTCCTGCCTCACTGCTGTTCGCTCTCACCCAGGAACAAGCTGGTCAGAAAGCTGTGCACTGCAGCCATGGCTTACAGATACCAGAAAGACTCCCATAAAACCTGATGTAGGGATCCACTGAATGTACATATGCCCTGGAGAATCTGTGCTGACTTGATCGGAGGCAAAAAGGAAAAGAATATCAAAGTAAAAGAAAGAGTTTGGATGCCCACCAAGACTCTGAGAATCACTATGAGAAAACTCCTTGGGCTGAAGCTACTAAGATTCCTAAGATTTTCCAAAGTCAGTTCTAGACAAGGATCCACAAGCCACTCATTAATTTGTACCGTCCTTCAGAGGTTATTAAACAGATTACTTCCATCAGTATTAAACGGTTGAAGTCACTACTGTAGATACTTATACCAACTATTTCAATAAATTATCAGTTGTTTAAAAAATGTGTGATGCGATAATAATAATCCATGAGAAAAAAATCTATTGTTCCATGACTTAATTTTTGTCAAAACATTAAAAACCTTCACTGTATAGGAAATGGAAAAAAAAAAAAAAAAAAGCAAAAGTACTATTTATTTAATATATTATTTTATTTTTTTTTAAAGATTTTTTATTTATTCATTTGAAAGATTGAGCAAGAGCATGAGCTAGGGGAAGGGTGAGAGGGAGAGGGAGAAATAGATGCCCCTGCTGAGCAGGGAGCCGATGTGGGACTCAGTCTCAGGACCCTGGGATCATGACTTGAGCCGAAGGCAGACACTTAACTGACTGAGCCATCCAGGATCCCTAATATACTATTTTAAAACATCAAAAACATCAAGAATTAAACTGTTTTTTTTTTTTAATATTTGTAAAAATTTACCAAGAGCACTTCGAATTGTTTCCTCCTTCTCATGGTATAATTACAATACAGAGCAAGCTTCTTTTCCATGCTTTAGTGAACTGTCATATTTCTTTCTTCTAAGTTTGTATCAGCTTCTATCACTTCATCCATTCTGCCTTCAAAGTTGTGAAGTATCTCTGAGAATTCTTTCAATGTGAAGTTTTCTGACAGTGCTACTTCCTTGGGGATAACTTCATTCTTCTTATCACAACCACTTTCCTCATTCATGTTGGTTAAGTTTACCTTCCCCAGGTCCCCAGGTTCCTCTGGCTGCACACTGAATGTCTCTTGAACGTCTACATTTCCACAAGTGGGTTTCTTTTATGATTCCATTCATGTTTCATTCAAATTTCATTTCCAGCATTTTCACTTTTTATTTCATTATTGCACTTTCACCTTTGTCAATTTTCTCTCTTGATTTTCCATTTTTGTAAAATATTATGTGGATTTACCATCGGGTAAGAAGGAGATGACTCAACTATCCGCTTGGCAGTCTCTGTGTAAAGTGAATGACAGACGTGTAGTGACCAATCAATAACAGACTTTGAAAGAAGTGATGTGATTGGTAACAGACCATGATATAGGTCTGTTATTTATGTGGTGATTTGTGAATTGAAGGGCTGGTAGCTATTACTTCATGTAAGTACTCAAATTTCAAATCCTGTGGTAATTGGAATTTGAACCACAGTGTTCAGGGGACTGAGGTAATTTAATTAAACCACAGTAACTGAAAGTCATGCATGTAGGAACTGTGTAAAGTGAGGTCTGCCTGTTATTTAAGACTTTTCTACTAAGACAAACTAATTTAGAGTGCAGTAAAAATGTGCATGCATGTTTAAGGTGAAATATGAGACTTCAATGAAACTGTGCTCTTCACCTGCAGATTCCCAGATATACGAGGCATTCTCTGTCATTAGGAGACTTTAGGGGTAGTCTGAGAAGCAGAGCCTTATGGATAGAATGGTCCAATACATTACTTGGTCTAAGTTGGCCTAAGAAAAGAATTGATTAGTGTGGACAGGATACTTAGATGACACCAAGGAATACATTAATGAGATTTACATTATTTCCTGTGAAGATGAAAGAGGTATTTTCCACATAGCTTTCTAAACTTCCTAAAACTTGGAGTAGGTAGCTTTGTTCAAGTGACAATGAGTCAGGGAATTTGCGAAGGAAGAGGAAGAGATTTAAAAGTACAGAGTTCTAAAAGTATATGCTCATTTTTCCCTTACGTTGCCAAGTTCCAAATGCTTAGTTAGGATAAACAAGACTTTCTTCCTATTCCCTCAGAAGATTTTAAAACTGTTTTTGACAAAAGTTTAAGTATAATAAAACTAAATATTTCCAAGATAAAAACTAAATATAGGGACACCTGAATGGCTCAGTCTGTTAAGCGTCTGGCTTCGGCTCAGGTCATGATCTCAAGGTCCTGGGATCTAGCCTCCTGTCTTGTCCTAGGGCTCCCTGCTCAGTGGGAGCCTGCTTCTCCACCAAGCATTTCTGCCTGCTTCTCTGTCTGCCTCTGTCCCTGACCCTGCTCTTGTTCTCTCAAATAAATAAAATCTATAAAAAAAAAATTGAAAAATTAAATTAAAATCTAGTACACTTATGAGAAAAAAGGTAAGGAAGAATTGACATGGTTAATTATGTATTTTTCTGGGGATCTACTTTAGTATTATAGGAAAAAATCTTGGAGAAGAATTGATAACATTCTTATTGCAAAACAAGTTTTAAGGCACTGGAAAGAATCTGAAGGGGAAAATATTTTCTCCTGTTAGGTGAGAGATCCACAGTCTAAAGGTAAGGGAAGAAGGTAAGAGGGATATAGAAACAAAAAATTTCTAGCTGTTACTATACACCACAGCATGTTAAATATTTTTCTTATTTTATAATGTTTAATTGTGATTAAAACCCTGAGAGATAGGTATAAAATAATGCTATGAAAAGGTCACTAGGTTTGGAAAACCCAGATTAACTGAATTCTAACCCCATTCACAGGTAATATGCCAGATGTGTTAGCATGTGAATGTGAAAATGTTAGAATTTGATTTATATTCTTGGCCTAATTTGAGAGCTAACTTCCTTCTCCTTAGAAGGATTTTTGCCTTCATAACGACTCTACCAAACATTACTTGAAGTCTTCTCAGAACCCCCAGGCTCAGTGAACCCTTCTTCCTTTGTATTTCAGTAACAATTGTACATAGCTCTATTAGAGCTTCACCATGATTTTCATTTACATGGTTAGAAGCCATCAAACTGATTTCAAAATCTGCAGACAAGGCCACAAGTAACTGGTTAACTTCTGACTGCTTTAGGTTTCAGTTCACTCTTCTTTCTCTAGTGTTGTAAGGGAGAAGGTTAAGATATTGATTTGAGATCTTTCTTCTTTTTTAGTGTAGTTATTTATAGCTATAAAATCTCCCTTCAAGCACTGCTTTTGCTGCATCCCGTAAGTTTTGCTATGGTGTGTCTTCATTTTTAGTTATCTCAAAGTATTTTCCAATTTTTGTGATTTCTTCTTTGACACATTGCTTATGTACGAGGCTGCTAATTAAATAAGGTCCATGTATTTTTCAATTTTCCCAATTTCTTTGTTAGTGATTTTTAAATTCACTTCACTGTGGTCAAAGAACATACTTGGCATGATTTCAATCCTTTTAAATTTATTGAGATTTATTCAATTTCCTAGCATATGGTTATCTCTGTATATGTTCCGAGATAGTGCATTTAAAGAATGTGCATTCTTTAAAAAAACCCAAAAAACCATTTTGTTCAAGGGTCAACTGTAGTCAGGTTTTTTTTTTTTTTAATCAGTCTGATATCTTTTAATTAGCATTTAGACCATTTATACTTAAAGTTATTATCAACATAACTGGGTTTAAATCTATTATCTTGCTATTTGTTTTCAGTTTTCCCATCTATTCTTTGTTTCTTTTCTTCTTCTTCTTCTTTTTTTAATCTTTTAGATAACCTGGATATTTTAAAAAGACTGTATGACCACTGTTGGCTATTAGCAATGCCTCTTCATTTTTTTAGTGATTATTCTACAACAGGGATTGGCAAGCTACAGTTTATGATGAAATCTGGCCCATTGTCTTTTTGTAAATAAAGTTTTCTTGAAACATAGCCACGGTCCAGTTGTTCAAATATGATATATAGTTACTTAGGACACAGAGGCAGAGTTAGGAAGTTATAACAAAGACGGTAAGGCCCACAGGCCTAAAATATTTACTATCTAAATCTATACAGAAAAAGTTTGCTGACTACTGTTCCATGGTTTAAATTTAAGAATTAAGATCCAAGGGCACCTGGGTGGCTCAGTGGGTTAAAGCCTCTGCCTTTGGCTCAGGTCACGGTCCCGTGGTCCTGGGATCGAGCCCCACGTCGGACTCTCTGCTCAGCAGGGAGCCTGCTTCCTTTCCTCTCTCTGCCTGCCTCTCTGCCTACCTGTGATTTCTGTCTGTCAAAATAAACAAAATCTTAAAAAAAAAAAAAAAGAATTAAGATCCAATAACAAAATTCAATTCCTCTGACAAATACTCACATTGTTTTCTTGATTCTTGTTGTTCTTTAAGAGTGTAATAATACAATTATGAATAAAGAAAGCAAGGGTAAGCACTCCAGTCAGCTGTGGAAACTGAAATCTTATCTCTAGGAGAAAAAGAGAGTGAAAAAAAACACGGAACATTAAACTGACAGCTAGAAAATGAATGTTAGTAGCCAAAAGTTGACTGCCAAAAATTAGTTGTCTCTGCTTTATCCAGGGAATAAGAATATTAAGATGTCTTCACAAAGTTCCTCAAGGCTAGCATCATACTTGAGCAAAACACTTGAAAAGGGAAAGAAAAGCAATCAAGAAATGACTACTCTGTGAGGGTACTTCACATCGGTTATTGATGTTTGAGGTCACACAACTAGTGTGTGGCAGGCACAGCAGGATTAAACTTAGAACTCTAAAGGTCTCCCTCTTCTAATACTTGCTTTGCCACAAAAACACCTTTAGAAAAGGAATCAGAAAAGGGAGAATTGGTCATTTAACATTTTTCAAAGGCTAATCTAAGAGGCACTGCTTATTGGGCTCTCTGCTCAGCAGGAAGCCTGCTTCTCCCTCTCCCATTCCCACTGCTTGTACTCCCTCTCTGGTTGCGTCTCTCTCTGTCAAATAAATAAGTAAGTTCTTAAAAAAAAAAAAAAAAAAAAAGCACTGCTTAAAAATACTCAAAATAACAAACGTCTACACAGAGGGGAATGGTTAAACTATGATACAGTTACTCTGTGGTATACAGTACATTAAGAATTACGTTCTCGAGAAAGATTTTATGCTATGGCAAATGTTTATGACTCAAATAGCATGTAGAGTACGATTTTTACATTTATTTTAAAAAGTTTGGGGGTATATATACGTATGTATGCTAAGAAAAAAGACTAGAGGGATAACCACAAAAGTTTAAATAGTGGTTATCTGGCTAGTGGGATTTATTTTAAGTTAATTACTTATCTATATTCTCTAAATTTTCTAGAATAAATTCAAAGTTAATATGAAATAAGAATAAAATAATAAATATTTCAAAAGCACTGGCAATTTCTGTCTTTGAGGTTTGCTAACACAAACATGAAAAACTGCTTTTATGTAGAATAAACCAAGAGTTAAATGAAAACAGTGCTATATCTAGGCGAAGTAGGCGGCAAAGGTGAAGAACAACCTGTCTCAGGGAATTCCTTAGTATAAAAAATACAAACAAGAAAACAAAGTCCACTGACTTTTTGCCATAGATTTAGGAAAGGAAATAAGAATAACTAAGAATCAAGCACTGGCTCTGAAAGAAATCAGGATGTAAGAATTTTAAAATCAATACTATAGTTTTCCATTAAGTTTTTGTTGTTCTGTTAGCTTTTATCTAAATTTTTATTTGCAAAAGCAATTCAGAGTATTTTTCTGGGGTGCCTGGGTGGCTCAGTCAGTTAAATGTCTGACTCTTGGTTTCGGCTCAGCTCATGATCTCAGGGTTGTGAGACTTAGCCCTGGGGTGGGCTCTGCCCTAGGCATGGGGCCTGCTTAGGATTCTATCTGTATCCCTCTCCCACTGCACCCACCTCCCTAACTGTGCACACACACTATTTCTAAATAAATAAATAAATAAATAAATTTTTCTCAGGCAAATTCTCCTCTTTTCTGTCTATAATTTTTTAACTTTTTAACATCTGAGCAGTAAAATAAAATGTGGGGGCAACTCCCACTTCTGTTTAAAAAAAAATTATTTCATTTTTTAAAAGATTTTATTTATTTATTTGACAGAGAGAGATAGTGAGAGAGGGAACACAAGCACAGGGGAGCTTGAGAGGGAGAAGCAGGATTCCTGCTGAGTAGGAAGCCCAACGTGGGGCTCGATCCCAGGACACTGGGATCATGATCTGGGCTGAAGGCAGATGCTTAACCGACCGGTGGGAGAAATAGACAGCAATATAATAATAGGAGAAGGCTTCAATATACCACTTTTAACAATTATAGATCACTCAGAAGTACACCAGATGTACATGATAGACATTTACAAAACATTCCATCCAATAACAATACACATTCTTCTCAAGTGCACATGGAACATCTCCAGGATACATCACGTTAGCCCACAAAATATGTCTCAACAAATTTAAGAGAACTGAAATCATACCAAGCATCTTTTCCAACCACAATGGTATGAAACTGGAAATCAATTACAAAAAACCCCCAAAAAACAAAAACCAAAAAACTGGAAAAATTCACAAATATGTGGAGATTAAGTAAGATGTTACTGAACAACCAATGAGCCAAAGATGGAATCAAAAGTTAACTCAGGATGTTGAGATAAATGCAAATGGAAATACAACTTACCAAAACTTAAAGGATGAAGCAAAAATAGTTCTAAGAGGTCAATTTACGGTGATAAACATTCACATTAACAAACAAGAAAGATCTCAAATAAACAACCTAACTAAATGCCTGGGTGACTCAGGTGGTTGAGCATCCGACTCTCAATTTTGGTTCAGGTCATGATTTCATGGTTCTGGTACTGAGCCCCAGGTCAGGCTCTGCATTCAGTGAGTCTGCTTGAGGATTCTCCCTCTTCCTCTGTCCCTTCCCCAGCTTGAGCACATGCTCGCTCACTTGCTCTCTCTAAAATACATAAATAAATCTTAAAAAAAAAACCAAACAACATTATACCTCAAGTAATAATGAGAAAAATAAAGAACAAATTAACCTAAAGTAGAAGAAAGGAAACAACAAAGATGAGAGCAGAAATAGAGACTAAAAAGATAATAGAAAAGATTAATACAACTAAGCTGGCTTTTTGAAAAGATAAACAAAATAGATAAATCAGTAGCTAGATTAAATAAGAAAAAAGAGAGGACTCAAATAAAAAAATTATAAATGAAAGAGGAGACATCACAACTGATACCATTATAAGAGATTACTGTAAGCACTTATATACCAATAAAGTGGACAACCTAGAAGAAATAGATACATTGCTAGAAACATACAAACTACCAAGACTGAATCATAAATGGAAAATATGAACAGACCAATTTCTAGTGAAGAGATTGAATCAGTAATAAAAATTTCCCAATAAAGAAAAGCCCAGGCAGGACTAGATGTTTTCACTGGTGATTTCTAGCAAACATTTGAAGATGAATTAATAATAATCCTTTTAAAACTCTTCCAAAAAATAAAAGAGGAGGGAACACTTCCAAACTCACTTTATGAGGACAATATTATCTTGATCTTGGTATTAAATTCAGACAAGGACACTACAAAAAAAGAAATGTATAGGCCAATATCCCTAATGAGCATAAATGCAAAAATCCTCAACAAAACATTAGCAAACTTAATTCTATACCATGATTAAGTAGGATTTATTTTAGGGATGCAAGGATAGTCCAACATCCACAAATCAATCAACGTGATACACCACATTAATAAAACAAGGGATAAAAATCATATGATCAGCTCAATGGATATAGAAAAAGCATTTCACAAACTTCAACATCCATTTATGATAAAAACTCTCAACAAACTGGGTATGGAGGGAATGTATATCAACATAATAAACATCATACTCAACAGTGAAAAGCTGAAAGCTTTTCCTCCAAGATCCGGAATGAGACAGGATGCCCACTCACCAGTGTTGTTTCTAACTTGTCAAATTAGAATGAGTAAATATCCAGCTTTTTCCAATTAACCAATAAAAACTCTTTTTGAGTAACTTTCTTAAAAACCTGAGATTCTTTTCAACAGTTTCAGTGAGATATAATTCATACGCACTTCATCCATTTAAAGTATACGACCATTTTGGAAAGCTATTTGGAAATATCAACCAAAGCAGAATATACACATACCCTTTGACCTTGCAAATCCATTCTGAGGTTTATACTAAGAGAAAGGTGTCATATTTTTACCTTAAGATATGTGTAAGAATAGAGTACAACAATAAACATAATACTAAACAACTGGAGACAAATGCCCCTGGACAGTAAAAGATAAACAAATTATGGGTATAGTTACACAATGAAATACCAATGAGAATGAACTACAAACAGACATAACTACATGGATCAATGTCACAATTTAATGTTGATTGGAAGAAGCCAGACACTAAAGAATGCATATTCTATATTTCTCTTACATGACTTAAAAACAAAACAAAACATAGACAAAACCAACCTTTGGGGTTAGAAGTTAGAATAGTGGTTAACTTTGCAAGGAGATAGCAGCTGGTAGGCAGAATGACAGGGACTTCTGGAGTGTTAGTTTTTGGTCTGTTCTGAGTATCTGGTACATTGTTTGTGAAAAATAATCAAACTATATACTTAAGAGTTGTGCACTTTTATATAGGTATGTTATGTCTCAATAAAAAGTTCAAAAGCGAAAACAAAAAATGGTAGAGCCTACATGTAAAAAAAATATGAAAACAGAAATTCCATTATAATTGGAGGCATTATTAAGTATCAATGAGTGCATAGTAGAATGTAGTCCGCTCCTAATGGAAAGTTAATAACAAAACTATTAAAGCATATATGGTTAGAAAATTATTTTTCTGGTTGTAGATGAACACAATGCTGCTAACAAATGGCAAATCACTGCATAATCTTTGCAGATCAGTGTCTGAAGTCTTTCTGAAATCAGTTTCAAAGCATTTAAGTTTTTCATTTTAAAAATATAGTCCTAGATGTATACTAATTGTTAAAAGTATTACAGGCCTTCCATCAAAAACCAGCATTCTCTTGCTTCATACCTCCCAACCTGAAGCCTGTTTCCCTGAGGTAATTATACCTCTTATAACTATTCAGCAGACTTCAAATTTATAATCTTATAATATGCTTATATTCCTTTTCCTTTATTTTTAAAATTTTAGATATGATCCATTGATTTTCCACCAGAAGACTTTAGTCCTACCACCACTCACATTTTCCCATCCCCTATCCCCCCCAATATCTTAATTCTAACTTTGATTTTGTAAAAATCAGTATTCAGTGTTTTAATTTTGATGATTATTCTATATTATTCACAGTTAAGCCATGATATGTATTATCATTATATTTTCTTATATAAAAATATTTTGTTGTCCTGTTTTTATGGAGATTTATGGAGATTTGGAGGTATTTCCTTTTCCATTGCC